GGCAGGAGCCTGTCACTCCTCATCCATGCCCTACCAGGCCGAGCTGTCCTCTGGAGAACTCTGGAGAACTCTGGAGAACCTCTCTTCCTGGTGTATCTCAGTCCCCTGAAAGTCGTGCCTGTCTCGTGCGGTTATTTTCACACCCTTTCAGGTCTGCATCGTCACTTCCCAGCCCTTTCTGCCATCTCCCTGCCCAGCGTCCTCCTCCAGCACTGAAGACCTCCAGAGCCAGGCCTCGTCCTAATACCCAGTGCCTTCTCCCAGGACATTTCCTGTACCTTGCGGTCAAGCAAACATCTCCAGAAGGCGTCTCAGAGTCACCTTCTCCGGCAACCTGTTTATTCCTTTCCTCTCGGGCAGAGAAAATCAGTCCCTCCTATCTCTGTCTTTTAGACGCCCAGCTGCTTCACACACACACACACACACACACACACACACACACACACACACACGGCTTCTCCACCTGAGCTCGCGCCCGGCTGGGTGAAAACGTGCAGGGCACTGATCTGCGTGACTGACCCCCGTGTTGTTTCATGCGTTCGGGTGTGGACTGTGCCCATAACTAAACTGAGATACTCACAGGCGCTCCGTCTGTCCCCCGAATGGTGCTGAAATCCGTCCCAGGTCCTGGACTGAAACTGATCCCAAGGAACGCAGTCACCTTCAGAAAGTGGTTTGCGTGGGCTTGGCGCCCTCTGGAGGTGCAGCACGGAGCGAGGCAGCCTCCGACCCCGGAGTGGTTTGAGGATGGTCCCCTAGAGCCAGCGAGGACCCCTTCCGCCGGCCGGCCACAGCAGTCTGCATCCCGAACACCCCTTCCGGCCCAGCGTCCACCAGAATCGTACATCCGCCGCACCACAGCGCGAAACGCAAACTGATCTGACCTCCGTAGCCTTGCGGGGCTTGGCTACCTTAGCTAAGGCCGAATGTAGCCAGGCCACGCCCCAGGACCCTTGTCCTTCTAGCAGCACCTCTCGCCAGCTGGGCTCAAACCCATCTTTTGTTCCTTGGCTCATTTCCTCTGTCTTCTCTGCCTGCCTGCCCCATTACAGCCAGGGCTCTATGGGCAGCCCCCATTAGAGCCACCTTCCCCAGAGAAGGGAACGGTGAAAGACCCATTGTGGAACTTTCAAGAGCAGCCCTACTCTGACCCTCTTCAAGACCATCACCCAGGGCAGTGGTTGGGCACCAGCTGCAACTGCCTAAAGGCATGTCTTGGCTAAGCCTGAATGCAATATCCATGTTTCCAGGGGAAAGCAGCTTAACTCCTCTGAACTTCTGGTTCCACTTCTGTAAAATAAGAGTTGTGTTAGCTTTCTGTCATTGTACAAAATATCTGAGAAAAGGAAAAACACTATTTTGGCTCACAGCTTCAGAGGTATCAGTCCATGGTCAGCTGGCTCCATTGCTAGGGGCTAGCGGCAGAAGCATGATGACCATGGGGTATAGCAAGAGAATTGGTTCACCTCCTGGCAACCAGGAAGCAGAGCAGGAGAGGAGAGTGGGAGCCTGTGCTGGTGGGCTTCCTCCTCCTGCTTTTCTTTCCTCTGGGCCCACCAGCCTACTGGATGGTGCCACCCACTCTCAGCAAGTGTCCCCTCCTTGTCCTCCCTGCCAGTGGTCTCTGGGCACACCCAGAAGTGTGCCTTACCAATTTCCTAGGTGCTCCCCAGTCTTCTCTAGCTGACAATAAACTATCACAGAGATGATGATTTTAAAATAAAAGCAAATCTTCACTTCCTTCTCTGGTTAGGGCAAGTTCTCCATATACACACTACTTATAGTAATGATAATTGTGACATAAATTATTAGTGTATCAGTTACTGTTTTACTAGAAAAACAGATGACACAAAATATGCAAAAATTACAAGATTGGCTTACGGTGGTCAGCCAAAGTCAGATGTGGAAGAGTGCAGAGGGTGTCTGCACACTGCACATCAAAGGCTTCAGTCCAAGGTCTATAGCTCACTGAAGTGTCCATGAAAGTCTATATCTGGAGGCAGATGGCTCTGTCCTACAAGGCTGAAGAGTCTACACCAGAAGGCTAAAGGATCCAAGGTAGAAGCCAAAGAGTCTGCACTAGAAGCCAGGAGATGGCAGCCAAACTGAAGGTGAAGACTGAAACTCCTCCAAAGAACAGAAGCCCATCCGTCCTTCCTCATTTCCCCTTTATACCATCCAGGCAACCAGCTGCCCTAGGGTGAGTCCTTTATACTCTAGGATGTGGAATTGCTGAGCCGATTTAGTTAAGCTTCTAAACTTCTCAAATTGACTCAATCAACCATTACAATTAGTTTGTTTTTAAAAATCTCCTCCTGTCAAAATGAAATTTCCACCAGCACCATGACTGGCTGGGTCTGATTTACTGCTGCCTTACAAGGCCTACCCCAGGGTCCACATGTGGTATAATACATGGTTGAAAAAGGTTTGGAGCCAGAAGGCCAGGCCAGTTCTAACACTGTCCAGTGGCCAATGCAGCTTTGGTCAAAATACTCAGCCTCCTTGGTCTTATGTTGTCTCCTCTCTAAGAAGAATAATCTACTGTGTGTGCATGTGCATGTGCATGTGCGTGTGTGTGTGCATGTGTGTGTGAGAGAGAGAGAGAAAAGGTTGCTTCAATTAAGTCCTTGGATACATTTAAGGTGCTAGGATAGGACCAGGTGCCCATAGTAAGTGCTCAGGAAGCATTGGCTCCTTTTTAACAGACACTCAGTATTCTAGAATGAGACTCCCAATTTCTCGTCTGATTTGGAAAGAACTTAGAAGTCATCACTCCCATCTTCACAATAATAATAAAGCTGAATAAACTGAAACAGATCTTCTTGAATTCATCAGAGATTGAATGCACAGGGCAAACAGGCAGATACCGAGAGTTGAGACTTGTTGGAGCAGAAGTGTGGGAGAGAAATCCCCTTCAGAGCCACAAGCAGTACAGGAAATACTAACTTGTGACAACCACCTGGCTAGAAGCTGTTTGTGAACAAACATGGTGTTGGAAAGTCCAAGAGTCCAGTTGTGGGGGCCACCATCATGAATGTTACCACCAGGAGTTTTCTCAGGCCCTCACAATGGAGACGAAAAAAGACCCTCCTGCTTCCAAGAGAGAGGGGAAACAGTCATGTTTAAGCATGTGCAGAGCATTTTATTCTCCAAGCTGGAAGTCTGCTCTCAAGGGAAGCTATTTTTCCAGAACCTTCCAGGACGGAAGAGAAATATCCAACCCAAACCAGTCCTCTCTAATGTTCCTGCCTTTACAGCAATTGGCAAGAGTAGGGAGAGCTGAGAAGAACCTTGGGAAGGTCACATCCTAGAGCACAGGTTTAGTAAATACTAGGACCTAATCCCAAGACTGTGGACTGTTCACCCTCCCTACAAGCATTAAAGTAGGGCTACTGTCCAATAACAGCAGGAAATCACACCTGAAAGAATGCAAGCCTCGGACTCATGAGAAGGAGTCTCTAGGAAAACCCAAAGGTAACCAGGAAAGCAGGAACAGGAAAATCAGAAGGAATTTTAGTCATTGACCCTTACAGTTACTGCAAACTATACGCAGTCTGTCTGAAGCTTCTCACTGAAGACCTATCCTCCTCAGTTCCTTTCACAAAACACAAACATGCTAAAAGGCAAAACAATGCAGTCTAGAGGAGCAAAGCCAGCATCAGAGCCAGACCTAGATATGGCACAGGGCCTGAGACAATCCAAATGGGAATTTAAAACTATTGTGATAGATACTCCAAGGAGCCTAATGGAAAGAGTGGACAGTGCTCAAGAGCAAATGGTAATGTAAGCACTGAGCTGGAGCTTCTAACAGAAAAATCTAAATCAAATGTCAGAAATAAAAAATACTATGCCAAAATGAAACACATCATTTAGGGGCATGACAGAGGACTGGACAAGACTGACCAAAGGAGTCAGTGAGCTCTGAGAAGTAGTCATAGAAGCAGGAGGTATAGCTCAGTGGTAGAACATGTGCTTAGCATGCCAAGGATCTGGGTTCAATTCCAGCACTGAAAAAATACATAATTAGAAAATACCCAAAGTGAAAAGCAAAGTGAAGAAAAGTAGAACAAAATTTCCAAGAACTGTGGGCCAGTTTCAGAAGATGAAATGTGTTATGGAAATACCAGAAGGAGAATACAGAAAAGAGAACACAGAAACATTCAAAGTAAACATAGCTGAGAAGTTTCCAAAATTTAAGACCGACATCAAACAACAGATCCAGGAATCTCAGAAAACACCTAGCAGGATAAATATCCAAAAAATCTATGCTTGGTCATATCATTCACGCTGCAGACACTGAAAGACAAAGACAATGTTTTAAATGAAGGCAGAGTAGGGAAAAAACTTTAGAGGAACAAGGATAAGAATTACAACTTTTATAGCCAGGCGTGGTGGCACACACTTGTAATCCCAGTACTCAAGAGGTTGAGGCAGGAGGATCACTGTGAGTTCAAGGCCAGCCTGAACTATATAGTGAAGTATTGTCTCAAAAAGATTAAAAAAAAAAAATTACAACTTCTCAGAAACCATGCAAACAAGACCAGAGTGGAGTAAAAGAAAATATCACCAACTTGGAATTCCATATCCCTCAAAAGTAAAAAGAAGTAGGCATGTTCTCCAACAAACAAAAATGTAGGGAAACTGTCGCTAGTATATGTGTTCTTCAGAGAGGAGGAAAAGCACATGGCCCCAAACTCTGATCTACAAACAGTAAGACGCTAGAGAAGGAACAAGTGGAGGGAAGACAGATACATGAAGCAACTCAGAACACCTCCCCCAGGAAGTCCTCCTTGCCCCACCCACACCAGCACCCCTCCCAGGGTCCAGGAACACCCGCACTGTCTTCATCACACACACTGGAAGGACCCATCTTCTCCCCCTCAGACTTCCAGCCCTGTGTCCCCAGAGCATCACAGGGAGGGAGGGAGGGAGGGAGAAAGAGAGGAAAGGAGAGAGAGAGGGAGCACTGAACGGCAGAGCATCCTCACCAACACGGGGCAGGCTGTCAAATAGTGTGTCTCTTTATTAGCAGTTCAAGGAGAGGATTCCAGGGATGCCTCTGGAGTCCCTGTGCCCAGGTCTGCACCTTCAGGTCAAGCTGGAGGCAGAGGTTCCTCTGACACAGGCTGCTCCTTGACCTTGAATGTTTCAACCTGGGGGGCAGAGAAGTGACCAGGGGACACATCATGGATGCAATGCCACCCTCTAAGCTTACCGTTCTCCATGTTCACAGAGAATGGTCTAGACAGCAGAAACCCAGGAAAGGAAAGGCAGAGCTGCATCAGAAACTGGGATGGAAGCCTGGATCTGCTCCTCCCCACCTCAGCAGCCTGAGAGCTGCTGGTTCTTCCTCATCTCCAGGGATGCTGGCAAACAGCTGATGTCATCTACCACTGCTAGACACTGCCCTGAGATGCTCTGAGGTAGAACTCCTGGTGCAGATGGAGACATGACACACAAGCACAAGGTAACCTGCAGGGCACAGCTGAGTTGGAACTGTGCCTGCTCCTTGGGCCTAGCCTCTATGGCCTGTGTAACCACTGGTTATAGGCAAAGTGCCTTGTGCAGAAGCTGGTGTAGAGGAAGTGCTTGATAAATGCTTGTCACATCTCCGTGGCTTTCTTTAACCAGGTAGAGGCCAGTTGTATGTAAATCATGCCTTTCACCTCCACAGTGGCCAGTGCCACCTCTCACCTGGCAGGGTGGGAATGGCCTGGGCCTTCCACCACCCAAGGCCACATAGACCCCTACTGTTATGACCCAAAGACGAGCACGCCCTTGATTTACAGTGGTTCCAACAACTACACACACACACACACACACACACACACACACACACACACACACATACACACCACCTCTATAATCCTGTGACACCAAGTGAGGTCAACAGATAGCAGCAGCACTGCCCAGGAACTGTCAGAAAGGCAGACCACTGCTGTGAACCCGAGAGGGGCCTGTGAACCCCTGAGCGGCTCCAGTATCTGTAATACCATTAATACAGTCAGAAAGGCCAACCTGTAACTCAACCACAAGTCCTTCTGGAAGTTTAAGGGATGCATTGCAGGAGCCCAAGGCAGCTGCCTCCGCTCTGGCCCTCTGCCTCAGTCACAGGCCCCTCACTGACAGGAAAGGCTAAGCCTTAACAGTCCCCATGCCAACATTGCTTGTCACTGCCTAGGATGACGGCCTTCTTGATCCAGGTCTCACCTGCTAGCCCTCTCACCCGTTGCTCTTAGCAGTTTGTGAAGGAAGATCTGACGCCTGAGTCCTGAGCTGGGTCACAGGTCAGGTGGGATAAGCTACAGGGAACAGTGGAAAGAGGTCAAGGTTCAGGAGAGGCTGCCAGGCGGCAGAGCTTACCCAGATCACATTCCCAAATCACAGCACCAAGGCAGGGATTATCACCACGTGCAGACCTGGCAGGGTCCTAGGAAGAGGCCCTGGTCCTGGGCCCTTCTGTGTGTTGGCAGGCATTGAGAGGCACAGGAGAGAGGACAGCAGTCCTGGGAACTGCTCATGCCTGCATGTGTGTGGTACTTATTTCTGGGGATTGGACACAGGGCCGTCACACTGAGCTACATCCCCAGCACTCTGTTTTTTATTTTGAGACAGGGTCTTGCTAAGTTGCCCAGGCTGGGAATCTGCCACTAGCCCAGCTTGTCCCTGCTAAACACCAGCAGAAATTGCTGGTGCAGACCCAGCAGCCACACCCACATGCCCCATAGGAAGGCAGATCCACTTGCTAAGCAACTCACCTTCGTCTCACCTGCTCGATCCGATCTTGCATGACCTCGCCTATCATCTCGCTTGGCACTTGGAAGATGCGGGTGTGGCTGCAAAATGTCATTCAGACATGCAGGTGCTGAGACTCCTTCTGACAAGGCAGAATGAAACTGCCAGAACTGGTATGCCCATCACCATGAGCTCTGGAGCTAGCCCCTTGCTGCTCTCATGAAAGGCTGTTTTACTAACCAAGCACAGCACAGTACCCTGAGCAGTCGTGCTAAGCCAGCTGTTCCAGGGAGTTTAGGGAAATGTGTGCTGCTCACCTTAACCAGTGTCAGGAGGTCAGTGGCCTGTGGACTTTTCTCTTCTGACGTCTCCCTTAAATCCATGATCCACTCTTACATTCACTGTCCTGCCATATTCACTAAGCTTTAGAGAAGCATCAAGAAAATTCTATCTCAAGCAAGCTACAGGTACCTCCTGGCTGTTTTTGCATTATTTCATCATGCCTGGCTTGTCTTCCACTCTCTGGCCCACTTCACATCCTTTTAAGTTCCATGTTCTGCTCTCCCTCAGATGCCACCATTCTGTCCTCTGATGCCCATGGCTGCTGTGTTCACTGACACTCCCTTCCTGGCTGATGCTATGTCCTAATGCTTTGGGGCATTCAAAAGGGATGCCAGCAGTGACACCTCTTCCAGTGCCCTCAGGCTTATGGCAGAGGACGTGTGAGCATGAACATGAGCCCCCAGGGGGTGGAGCCAAGTGAGTCCCACAGAAAGAGAAGACACCAAGAAGAGGGAGTATCCCCAGCTGAGGAAAGGAAGGAGCCCCCAGAGCAGAAGGGGCTGCAGCCTGCAGCTGAGGCACAGGGGTGCCCAGGGCACAGGGTCCTTCTGCTCTCCAAAGCTTCTGCCCTGGCTCCTGCATTTCCGTAATACCCTGCAGAAGAGCCAGTCCAAGCAATGAGCCTGTGCAAGGATCATCCCTGAGACCACAGCAGCAATGCCCATGCTGTGGGACCTTTTGCTCTCTCAACTTCCCGGAAGTTAACTTTCACACGCGTCACCCAGCTAGCTTACTCTCTTTGAAATCAGGGGCTACAGCTTGGGGTTTTTTTTTCTCTCTCCTTTCTTCCAGGAGGCTAGCAACCATGAGTGACCAGTACTTACCTATCAAAAGGGCAGTAGTCACTACCACTTCACCAAGAGATATGGGTCTCCTGACTACTTACTGAAGGCAAGAGGAGAGGCTGGTACTTTAAAATCTCCAAAGGAAGTCCAGAGTGCAAAAATTACTAGGTGTAGATAATTGACTGATTCCTAAAGACTGCCTCAAAAGCTGAAATCTAGTTAAACTATACAGCCAAGATTTAAAAACATTGCAAGAAGACACGCATGGGAAGCCTCTACCCTACGGAAGGGCAGCCTCAGGCCCTGTGCACTCTGCCTTGAGACAGCATCTTCAGAGCCCAAAGAGGCTGGCAGTGGGATCTGGGGCTGCAGGAGAACTGGAAGCCCTGAAGCCACCATGGTGCGGCTCCATCACAGAATTCTAGCTTTGGGTGCTGGGAAACTGCCACACTCCTAGTTGCGGATGAGAGCAAGCTTTTGCATTTTAAAAGCTTATTTCCTTGTAGCTCTTTAAAGTGCAGTCATTTCTGAACAATTCAAGTACAAAAATAAGAGAATTCTGAATGTATTCAGAAGCATTTAGGAAATGGAGAGTAAACCCAGTTTCCCAAACCCTCAAGTCATTTTCAGTGCAGGAATGAGCGAGGCTGTCAAGATAGCAAAATATTCCCATAAGACCCCAAAGCAAGGCCAAGAAATTTCATAGCCAAAGGAGATTGCATCTTTGGTTGATTCTTAGAGAAGGGCAGCTGTGGGTTTGTGTTGGCCAAGGACTGTGGAGAGAGGGGTTTGTGACTTTTCACAGGCCCTCCCCTCCTGCACTCAGGGCAAAAGTGTGCTTTACCTCCATCTTATGAACTGGATTCTTGTCCTCTCCTCCAGGACCTCTTGACTTGGGTTTGCACATAAGTCGGCCTTTGAGAGTTGGTGCTTCACCTAGGAAATGAGGCAGGAGTCCATGTGTCTACTGACCACTACGGACCCACCCCACCGCACCCAACAACAGCAGGTGGACTGAGCTCACCCCTCACAGTGGGCTGTCCTGCCTCTCCCCACGCCCTCCATCCCAGGGCAATTGGCTCAAACTCAGTTACCACATCTCTGGTCACGTGTATGTCTTGGCCACGAGTGGGAGAGACGTTGGTGGACATCTTCTCCTTAATGCCTTGAGAAGCCTCCTCTTCTGTCTGAAAGTGAGTGTGTTTCTTCTAAAACTGTCATTTGTCCTCCCCTCCTACTCCTACTTCTTCTCCACAGGACACATGCCACATGTCTGTACATACATCCTCCATATCTCCCAGTCCCTGCACTAAACTCCTTGCTTCTTGCCTGTGAAGTCCAGAGAGCTCCCTAAGTTTTGGCCCTATCCCAAGGTATTCCTGAGACACCCCTGCACTGAAATCCCCCCATCAGGACTCTTGGAAAGCAAAGCCAGTTAGGGTGATACTAGTGCATCTCTTACCAAGACAAGAGTCCCAGAGTTCCCTGGACTCAACCGTAGGCAGAGTTCCCCAGGTGTATGGAGAGAAGACACCAGATCCCCACCCTGCATGGGACCAACTGTGTAGAATTTGGGGTACCTGAGTCAGAGAAGACTCTTACTCACTTTTTTAAGCCAATGCTCTACTACAGATACAGCCTCACTTTCCACAACTTCAATGTCCTGGAACAAACCAGTAAGTTAATGACCTTGGAAAAGCTAGGAACCCAGATCTCCCTACTCCCAGTGCTCTCATCAGAACTTAGGCATAGTAAGATCTCTCCAGCGTGCAGTAAGGGGCACCAGGAGAGAATATCAATGAGAAACCATTCCATGTGGCTACCACCAACTCTGCTTACCGAGCTAGTCTTTGGTGGGAAGGGGAGTCCTACAGCTTTCCGGGCAAGAATGTACACCATCCATGTTGTAATTATCATCTTCAAACTTATCCCAGGCCACCTTCCTGGCACCCTCCTTCCATTGAAGCTGCCTGATAGTGCCTATGGGACAGGGATGGTGTTGAAGAAAGGTGTGTCCTGATTGGCTGACATGTGATGATGTGACAATGATCTCCCTTAACCTCCAGGTCAAAGAAGAGATGGAAAAGAAAGATCAGGAGATTTCTGTCATAGTGATGATCCTAGCTCAGAGGTGGAAGTGGGAGGGGGTGGGGGGAGGTAAGGATAAGCTATTGCAGTATCAGCCAGAGTGAGACACAAAGGGGACACTATCCAAATTATAGAGGACCTCAGGACAGGGCAGGAGGTGACATTGATGGCTAGTTATCTAGTCCTGAGCAATGCTATAGCAAAATGAAAGTTTACAAATTGAGTGAATAAATGTGTGGCAGAATGATCTGAACCCTCATTCAAAACAATGTCACAGGTATTTCCTGTTGTTATCACATATTGGGGAGGGTGTAGGGGGAAAGAGTTTGTTGTCCACCAAAAAAACACCACAGATTGGGGGGCAAATTCTCAACTGTGGGTATGTTCTTTATTTTTGTCTACTTTATATAAGTGATCCAAATCATTAAAAAGTAATATAAACAATAAGAAATATGGGTAAACAGTGAAAGTGCCACTTCTTTAAAAAATGTTTCTTGTTATTCTACTTTTGTTCCTGCTTGGTGAAAGAAGAGTAAGGTGAAAACCAGGAGAGCATTGCATTGTGACTTCAGAATTGGGGACAAAGAAAACCTGAAAGGAGCTCAGGTGACTGCTCTTTCCAGCTCAGACCTGTCATGAGGACATTCAGAGTTCAGAATAAGGGGCTGGGGATTTAGCTCAGTGGCACAGTGCCTGCCTGGCAAGTGCAAGGTAGTGAGTTTGATTTCCAGTATCAGGGGAAAAAAAAAAAAAAAGAGTTCAGAATAACCTACCAGAACCTAAGTGAAGGTCCAACTGCCCTCAGAAGCAGTTGCAGCATTCCTTGCCTGAGGCTGAGAACTGAGACTGTTCTCAAGGTCCAAAAAGTTTGCAATCCTTTGTCTACTGCTGATTGATCAGCAGCCTCTGGTCCTCCTTGTCTTAAGATGAAAAGGATAGAATAGTGTCTCTAGTTTTCTCCTAGCTCTTACAGTCTATAAAAGTTCCTATTTTCATTTTTCTCGGGATGATAGAAAACCTTTATCTTACTCCCTAGTTTTCTTAATATAGCACTATGTTTCCTCACTTTTCTCCATCTCAATTTTGTATCTCTTGTGGTGTGACGCTGGGCTGAGAGTTAAAGCAACAAACTCCCAAATCAAAAAAGTTTATTTCTCACTTTTACAAACCCTAGTGCAGGGTGGGTGTCTCTTCATCATAGCTGTGCTCCATGGAGTAACTGGGAGGTTCAAGAACGTTCAATCCTTCAGCTCCGTCTTCTCAGGGCCTGGCCTCCATGACTACCAGGGCAAGATGAGGGAGCCACAGGACATTGAGGAAGCCATTCCAGGTTTCAGCTCAGAGGCTGTTCTCAAGCCCTTGGGCCCATACTTATCACAGGGTCCCAGCCTAACTCTACAGGAAAGACTGTACCATGACAGATGATCTGTCCACGTCTCTGTGTCTGCTACTCCTTCTGGAACTCATGTGTCCCTCCTTATTGAAATAGTTTTACGTTGTAATAGTAAAATATTAGTGTGATAGAAAAACCAAAACTACATAAAAAAAATCCATTCAGAGAAGTTTTATCATCTACCCCACCTTCTACTCCTTTATCTTCTAATCCTTCTGCCTTGTTCTAACTTATTTCAGGAGTAGGTCTCAATAGTTTCAAGGATATATATCCTGTGTTTATGTTGTCAAATGAAGCAGATGCATAAGTCCATTCTTGTTTTTTGTTACAGTACTAAAAATGCACTTAGTTAAGAATTACACGTACTTTTAACCAATTCCTAGATCAAGATTATATATATATAAACATTTCCTTTTTTAGTACATGATGTAACATTTCTAATATTCCAGGAGACATCTGGGCAAAGCATTTTTACCACCATTGCCATAGATGAAACACAATATGTGCTCTATTCTCACTAGCTGCTTTGTTATTGTTGGGTAAAGCTATAGTTTGTTATTTCATCTTTGGATAGTATCCTGTTATATTACTTTAACACAAATTATTTATCAAATTTCCTATTGATATGTATTTACATTATAGCTAAATTGTGCTTTTTAATACTGAATGCCACTGTGAACATTCATACCTACCTTTTGGCTAGCATAAGCACTAAATCTTCCAAGTATTTAATAGGCACTGGAATTGCTAGATCATGGAACTTATATACATTCAACATTAGTCTATACCAACAAGTAATGCAAAGTGGTTGTACAAATCTACTGCCCATAACAATTACTCCATATTTTTGTCAATACTTAGTACTGTCGGTCCTTTAAATTTAACCAATCTACTGAAAGAGTAGTAGTAATTAATAATAATTTAATTTGCAGTTAACTAATTATTAATAATGTTATGCAACTTCATATTTACTTATAGACAGTTTGCCATATTCATTGTGTACATGAAGTATCTTTTTAAGACTTGTGCCCTTGTATTGAACTAGTAATCTTTTCCTTCTTGACTTATAGGATTTCTTTATGTATTGTAGACACTATTACATTATCAAATATGTACATTGAAATTATTTTATCTCACTCTGAGACTTGCCTTTCACCCTTTTAGTATTGCCTTTTGTGGTGCAGATACATTTTTTTAAAGTGAGTTTTATTGAGATGCTAATACAAAAATAATATAAAATTCAACCATCAAAATGTCTTGCAACTTTATGGAATTATGTAACTAATACAACACTCCAATTTTAGAATATGTCCACTACCTCAAAAATGTGTCATGCTCATTTTCAGGCCACTCCTATTTTAATTCTTAGCCCACTGATCTCCCTTCTATCTCTAGATCAGTTTTTTCTGGATATCTCATACAAGTGGAATTATATCAGATTGTGCCTTAGTTATTTCTCTGAGTATGATTTTGAATGTCATCTACATCTTACAGTTATCAGCAATCTATTCCTTTTTATTGTAGAGTGGTATGGAGAGACCATGTTTTGTATATCCATTACCAACACATGAGCATATAGAATTATAGACCATTTCTAGTGTAGGCTAGTGTGGTGAATTCACTAACAGTCAACTTGTAATACCCAGCTGAACTGAGTCAGTGTGGTGCTGGGTGTGGAAGGCACATGTGAGGATTGCTGTCAACAGCATAAAAAGAGAAGTGGAGGGGAAGATGGTGAGCTGTTGATTCTCCTGGAGAAGCTTGTCATGCTAGCTTTCCCGATGTGAATTCAGCTGTTTTCATTATCTGAGGAGCTCCGGTCCTCACTATTGTTGAGGATGACTGTGGCTCTCCTTGGCGGAGCTCTGATCCTTACCTCAGGCATTGCTTCCTGGCTCCAGGGAAGACTCCTCAGCCTGCTGGCACAGATCCTTCACCCCACTGGCACGGACTTTCTAGCTTCCACCACTGACCTTTGGACCTTCCCAAGGCAGGTCTTTGATGCATACTTGCATGAGACATTGTCATGGGCTCTAGGCCTCCAGATGGACTTGTGGAAGACATTGCCATGGGCTCTCATGCAGAGCCAGACTCATGCAGGACATTGCCATGGGATACAGGCCTCAGCTGGATTTCTGTGGACAAATCTTCCACACTCTTGCATTTGATTCTTTGGGTGAATATTGCAAAATAATACTATAAATTATGTGTCCTGTATTAAATCTTTTCCTGATTACAATAGCTGTTATGAATAACACTGCAGTGAACATTTGGGAAGAACAATCTTTATGCGTATGTATATTTTATTTCTCTTAGGTAGATTCCTAGAAGTGATTTGGTAAGTATGTTAATACTTTTTTCTTTTAAAAAAAAAAAACAGCTTTGCTAAAACACAATTCATAGTCCATAAAATTTATCCATTTGAAGTATACAATTCAATAGTTTTTAGTATATTTAGAGATGTGCAACCATACTTCAATCCAATTTTAGGATATTTGCAGTAATTCAAAAAAGAAATTTTGTTCCTATTAGCAGCCAATCCCAGTTTCCCTCACTCCTGCCCTCACACCTAAGCAATCACTAATCTATTTTCTTTTTATAGATTTGCTTATTCTGGACATTTCAAATGAATAAAATCATACGATATCTGGTCTTTTGTGACTGGTCTCTTTAACTTAACATAATGGTCATCTACACTGTAGCATGTATCAGTAATTCATTTCTTTTTATTGCAGAGAAGCATTTCATTATATGGATGTATCACGTTTTATTTATCCTCTCACTGTCCAATGTGAATAGATATTTGGATTATGTCTATATTTTGAGATGTATAATGCTACTGTGATCATTTGTGTACAGATTGTATAGACATATTTTCATTTTTCTTGGATTTATACTTAGCAGTAGAACTGCTATATCATGTTCACCCTTTGTTTAACATTTTGAAGAACTGTCAAAATGCTTTCTAAGTGTCAGTATCATTTTACCTTCCCACCATAAACATGTGAAGGTTCCAATTTTGCAAGCATTGTTATTGCTCACTTTTTTTATTTCAGCCATCCTGATGAGTATGAAGGACATCTCTTTATGATTTTGATTTCTAACTCCCTAATGGTTAATCATGATGAGCATGATTTTTTTCGTGTATCTTCTTTGGAGAAATGTCTAGTCAGCCTTTCTCATCTTATAATTGTGTTTGGGTTTTTTTTTAACCATAGTTTGAGTTATACAAGTTCTTTACGTATTCTACATACACCCGGATAGCCCATATATTTGGCATTCTCCCATTCTGTGAACTGTCTTTTCATTTGTTGATAGTGTCCTTTGAAACACAAAAGTTTTGAATTTTGATGAAGTCCAATTTACCTACTTTTACCTTTGTTACTTGTGCTTTTGGGGTCATATCGAAGAAACCACTGCCTAGCCTACGATCATGAAGATTTGGCCCATATTTCTTCAAAGAGTTTAATAATTATAACTCTTGTGTTTATGCCTGTCACCCATTTGGAGGTTATTTTTGT